ACTTTGGGAACCTCTAAAACCTTGTTCGAGGGGTAGATTATAGAAAGGGAAGGTGTTAGCACCCTTTCTATCCGTAGTTGTCTACGGGCTCTTAGGTACTTGCTCAATTATTTTCAAAATTGTTTTCTTTGTGCTTATGGGTTTGGAAAAGTTTTTATTTTGAAACTTCGATTTAACTCTTGCTTCTGTCCTCAAGAGTGTAATGAGGTGTTTTGAAAACTTTGTTCGAAAAGGAGTGTAAGTGTGAAAAGTTTTGTTTTTGAAAGAGCAAGTATCTAAGAGCTAATCTACCTACTCGAAAAAGGAATCGTTCTATGCTAATTTCCTTTAGACAATGCTATCCCACTATTAATGAGTAGGTAGCACCGTCGTTGGAGTTTGAGGGTCAATTCGAATGAGGGATATACGATCACTAAAGCAATGTTAGGATGCCTTAGCGGTAACCCTAATGTCTTAGATCATTTGTTTGAGGCAACAATATCTGAGGCGACCATTTCGAGGCGACTATGATCTTTTAGACAAGAGGGCGACCTCTAAAACGATCTATACTCAATGACCGTGTACGAAGGCAACCAAGTGGGGTGTACCCTAAGTGTGCGTATGTGCGAGTGTGTCGTTTTCAGTTATTTTTATCTTTGCACATGTTAAAGGTGATCTAATTTGATTTTAAGATTAGGCATTCAGTCTTGTCATGCAAACCCTATTATCAAACATCTAACAGTTATAATTTGCAGAAATTAAAGGTGCGGAAATTAAATTACAAGGCGTCGGGTATTTACATCGCCAAAAACAAACCTTTTGAAAAGTAAAGCGATAAAAATAAAAGTCCTAATTAAAATTATTACAAACTGTGAGCAGATACAATAATTGGGATAAAAACAATAATAAAGCGCGCGATGAAAATTAGCTCAACGAGAACTTAGGGTTTTGACCCTTCTATCCTAATTAAAAGAGAAAATTGTTTTTTGTTGTTTTTAATAAAAGAAATGAGTTTTCTAAATTAAAATGTGCAATTAATTATTTAATCAAATTAATTAATAAAAATAATTATATGACATATCTTTGGTTTTTTTGTTATTTTAGAAAAGAAATAAAATAATTAAGTTAGTAATAAAAACCTATTTATTCTAATTAATTTTAATTATTTGCAAAAGGAATTAAAATTGTCTAAATTAATAAACCTAATTAAATTAATTTATTTATTTTTAATAAAAATAAGATCTAGGCCTAATTTGTGTTTTGTTATTTTAAGAAAAAAGAAAATAGAATTAAGTTAGAAACAAAATCCTAATTGTTCTAATTAATTTTAATTTATTTATAAAACAATTAAAGTTACCTAAAATTAAATTAAAACCTAAAATTAATTATTTGAGTTTATTATAAAAAAATCAAAGATTTGTGAAAAATATTAAGTTTTATGAAAAAAAAGATTTTAAACAAAAAGAATAAAATCAGGTAAACGGACAAATAAAAAGGAAGAAAATCAAAACCAATAGGGGTGGTTGTTGAACCCACGCCCTTAACCTTCTCAGGATGTCTGCCTCGCCATGTATTGGTGTCATGTGTAAGCTGTTCTGTTTTGACCATTTATGTTTTAGCTTTTGGTCATTTGTGTTTTGGCCTCAACGTTCCTTAATGAACCTGCATGGGATCCTGTCTAAATCTGCAGTGTTGAATCTCATGAACACATTAAATAAATTATTATATATTATGAAATACAAATACACATTATATATTATGAACACATTAAAACCGATATGGCATGTATGAATGATTATACCCTTTTGATCATGGAGATCAAATCAGTCTTACTCTTACTGGAGAAGTAGTGATATGAATGCTTTTATGCCCTTTTGATCATGGAGATCAAGCCAGCCTTACCCTTACTGGAGAAGTAGTGAAATGTTGGTTTGTAACCAGGATGGCTTGTTTGTAGTGAGAGGGGGATTTGTAATAAGGATTTCAAGGTTTTTAGGATTCCTGAAAGAATTTGATATTCTGACAGCGTTGTGGCAAAGGTTAATTTTTTTCTCCTCCTTGTTTGTGTGAAAATAATGGGATTATATAATAGAAATTAGAGAGCAAAAAATGGGCTTTAAATGTGTAATTGAGCCTCAAATGTCCACTTGAGTCTGTCACATTATAGGCAAAATCGCAGGGGCTTAAGTACAATTTTTGAAGTTGAAATATGAAAACAAAATGTAGCCGACATCGAGAACTAACTCATGTCCAAAAATGGGCTCAATCGGATAAACGGTGAATTAGTTATGAATTTTTGAAATTTCAGCTCACACAAACTTATTTTGGGCTCCAGTGTCGACTCTGACACGTTCTTCAATAAAAAACTGGTATTGATCGGAGCATAATTCGGTCTCTACTTTTGAAGCAAAGTTGTAGATCTCTGAGTCAGTGACCTTGTGTAAAAAGATGGGCCCAATCCGATAAAAGTTGACCGAGTTATGAATTTTTGAAGTTTCGACCCAGATAAAATAATACTCAGCATTCAGGATTTTCGGCGCGTCACGCGTACTCTGAGCAAAAAATAAAGACCTTTTGGATATCGTTCGAAATCGATACCTTCTGTGAAAACTTAGCCAACTCAATTTATGAAATTTTGGCGCTGGAACCAGCTTGATACGATGAAAATCGACCAAGTTATGATTTTCTGAACATGACGCAATTAAATTTATGTCATAAATTTTCTGTACGAAAATACTTGATAAATCCGCATTTTTGAAGACCTTCTGATCGAAATTGACTTCCAGCCGTGAGAGATGAAAACATAGATGACGTTAATACGGAATTTTAGCCACTGGAACGGGTTTAAAACGAGCCGCGATCTTCAAGTTATGAATTTTTTAACGCGTAAAAACTACACTTTCAGCACACTTTTTCACCATATTTCTTCGAGAAAACTCACACATTCGGATACCTTTTTTAAAGAATTGACTCTTGAGCCGAACCTGAATTTGAGAATATGTTATTAGAGATATCTTGGCGAAAGAACACCTGAATATGACGCGCCGGGTTGGACTTGTGAATCTTTGAACCCCGAATCGTTGCAAAACGGTGAACCGATCTTCAACACAGAAAATACTCTGAGAATATCCATTGACGAAATAAACGTCACTTGTAACCTGAAGAAGCTTGATAAATATACCTTTATTTCATAACCATAAAACCAATAATATACGTGTATGAAAAGAGGGCAAATTTTTGGGTACAACACTTTGATCTTTGAGTTTTGAGGAAATAAATATGGGGAGAGCAGTTTCCCACAGATGGTGTCACTAATTTTACCGATTGATCAGAATATGCGAAGCAGTCGAATGATGATCTGTAGTCGGGCTATCATGTCAAGGAGGAAAAAAGGGTTGTACGTGCAAGGCACTCCGACGATCAAGTAAGAGTGAGAACAAAGAGATACAAGCAAAGTGTTAAGATATTGGTAGTGAATAGTGAATATTTGATATCTGGCCCTCACAAGTGTGAGAGCATATAATATACCCCTAGCGTATGACTATTGGTTCCTGTTTTTGCGCTTGGATATGTGGGTTCACAAAATCAGGTAACTGTCAGGACTTGGTCAAACCGATAAGATATGCTCGTAACTAGTCGTTGGTTCTGAGGAGGAGACAAGTTACAGGCATCTCTCTGGGCGGTTCCTAGTGACCTGTACGACTTGATGTCGGGCAGACTGAGGGATACTCATCGATCATCCTAGGCCAGTGTTGGCTCAGGAGGGTAAATGATCGATATTTCCTGACGGGGAGCGGGGCGGTTCGGGCCATGGACGCGCAGGCCTTACCGAAAGAAAGGGTTAGACTGAGTCCATTCTAGATGTCGGGTCAGTCCAGAACATAATTCAACATTCTTTAAATTCGTTTTACGTACTGATCACCAAAGTTAGTGATTGAGAGAAAATGAGAGAGGTTCTCATATTTAGGAGGAGTCTTAAATAGAAAGTCACATGTAGTATTAAGAAGAGAGACATTAACAAAGGTTGTTAATCTAAGACTATTTATACTAATACTATTGAGAGTGAATTTCCTTTCTTGGGTTAGAAGTCCCCCCAAATATAGGTGACGTTGCACCGAACTAAGTTAATAATAATTCTTTGTGTTCTTTATTGCTTTATGATTTATTTAGTATCTATTAATCTGTTATAAGAATGTTATACACATCGTCACAAACATTGTGTCTAACATCTTTCATACGAATAACAAAATTTCACTCATGAAAGCACTTCGCTCATACACTACTCATCTTTGAGTGGTTATATATATGTTTGATTTCTTGATATACTTATGAAAGCCCTTTCCAATTATACAACTCATCTTTGGGAGACCGTGTACATGTTAAGTTTCTTGACATACTTTATGAAAACACTCCACCCTTACATGGCTCATGCTTGGGGCGTCGTGTACATTGATTTATTAATATGCCTTATGAAATCACTTCGCTGAAAACACTTCACTCTTACCCAAGTCATGTTTAAAAAGTCAAATACATGTCTAATTTCTTGATATATCTTATGAAAATATTTCACCCTTACACTACTCATACTTGAAAGAATGTGTGCGTGTGTGATTTCTTGTTATAAATTTTAACATAAAAATCAAATATATTTTTGTGAAAGATATTTTTAAAAGTAAAAAAACTAATAATTTTTGATTTAACGTTGTTTTCTACAAAAATATCTTTTCAACAAGTTATATCAACAAGGTAAAACATGGTTAAAAAATGTATAAAAAACCAATTTTAATAAAAAAAATAAAAAAAATGACATACTTTTCAGAAATTTAACTGTTTATTGAGCAAGAAATAATCAAGGGCGAAGAAACGGCTGAAAAACGCTTCGCTATTTCACTATAGTCCCAAAAACTGAAGAACGACGCATCATTTTCAGGGATCATCAAAACACGCAACAGTATTAGAAATCGCGAAAGATCAAAAGTTAAAGGCATTGCAAATTTCACCGCGTCCGTGAAGATCGAAACATGGACGACGAATTGCTCGAGTTGCAGAGACAGTTCGAGTTCGCTCAACAAGCGAAGTCCAGTATTCGATTATCCGATCGAAACGTCGTTGAATTAGTCCAGAAATTGCAGCAACTTCAAGTCATCGATTTCGAGCTTCTTCACACTGCTTCCGGCAAAGAGTACATCACTCTCGTACGCTATTTGCTTCGTCTTTTATTATTTTTTGCAATTAGGTTTAACGGATTTGATTCTTGATAATCGATTGTATTTTCTTGCTTTTAACCTAATTCATTGTGTTATAATTGATCTTAATCAAGTGTTTGTTTATACGGTCGATAGGATCAACTGAGAAATGAGATGGTGACTGAGGTGAAGAGATTAGGGCGAATTTCTGTGATTGATCTTGCTGATGTTACTGGAGTTGACTTGTACTATGTTGAGAAATTGGCTCAGAGTATTATAACTGATCACGGGGAATTGATGTTGACTCAAGGGGAAATCGTTACGGAATCTTACTGGGATTCGATTGCGGAAGAGATTAACGAGAGGCTTCAAGAATGTAGTCAGATTGCTTTGACGGAACTTGCTGCGCAATTGAATGTTGGTTTGGATTTGATTGCGTCTGTGTTGGAGCCGCGTCTTGGAACTATAGTGAGTTTTGCTTGTTTGTTTGTTTTGTTTTGTGTTGGTTTTGGTATGTTTTTGGAGTGGTAAGTGGAAATTGTGATTTGATAAATGATTGTTTTGAGAATAGGTTAAAGGAAGGCTTAAAGGTGGGCAGTTGTATACTCCTGCCTATGTTGCTCGTGTTAGTGCCATGGTTCGAGGTGCTGCTAGGGGCATTACAATTCCGACAAATTTGACAGTGTTATGGAGCTCGTTGTAGAATTTACTGCAAGAAATGGATGGAGCCAGTGGTGTGGCTGTTGATGGATCTGACTTGTGAAGGGAGGTGAAATTTCAGGGTCTGTACGTGCTGGAGTGCATTGGACACCAGCTGTGAGTGACATGATTTGACATAGATTGGATATTTCTTTAATTGATGCCTGAATTTTATGGTTTTCATATTTGATTTAGGCATTTGGAGCTGTTCACTTCTTGTTACACATTATTGTTTAATTGTTTGATTGACAAAAATTAGGATAATTTCCAAATTCTTTTGCTATACTCCACCTCTAATTTATAACTCTATAATCCTTTTACTGTTAGTGTCTATAGGGGGCAGTGGCAGTGGCAGTACTAGTAGTCAACTGTTGTGGCATATGCATTGATGCCATTAACTTAGTTCCCATATTAATTATTTGAAGTTGTTTATTGTGTTTTTATGTCACATGATAGGTATTTGCTGTTGCTCAAAAGGAATCTGTGGATTCATTCTTTTCACAAGTATGAACTCTCTCTTCTATCGTTTTTCTCTTTTGCTTAAGATGCCAAACATTTCACCTAGTAATAAGAGCATATGATCCATTGGTTTGAGCTAGATAACTGTCTTTATAGGCTTTGTTTGAATGTACTTGTTTACTGAACTGCTCCATTCATGTTGTGCTGCATTTGTGTGCTTTAGAATTCTTTTATCAGCTATGACGTTCTGCAAAAACTTGGAATTCCTCAGCCCGTTCAATTCTTGCAGGTAACTAAGTTGTTCTTATGTTGATTCTATATCCAAATAATAACCATTTGGATCATATATAGATATTTGTGAAATAAATACTCTGTACTAAATGTTTTCATAATGAAGCCTAAGTTTGCACAATCTAATTTAGTCCCAGATATCCTGAAGGCAAACCTCTTGTTACAACATTTGTTCACCCATCAATGATTGAGATGCTAGATGCTGCTACTGAGGATGCTCTAGAACGTGGTAGCTGGTAAGACACTTAGCATAAGCCCCACCCCAATCCTCAATTTCTGTTTCTGTTTCTGTTTCATCCCTTTTTACGTTGGTAAGTTGATCAGATTCAATACCTTGATTTGTCCTCACTCTTCCTACTTCTGCATCACCTAGTTGTTCGCACAGGGAAAAAGTCCAAATTAGACTACAAAACATGCTCATAGATAAGCTTTAAGGGGTCTTTAACGTGCTAGCTGTTTCCTTGTTATTTTAACATTACTTTCTTCATATGGATAATGATTATGGCAACTGGATGATAATGACTGTTCCCGTTCTCCTTTCTCTTCTATGCTCTCTCTCTCTCTCTCTCTCTCTCTCTCTCACACACACACACACACACACACACACACACACACACACACACACACACACGCACACTCACGCACAGTGCAAGAGATCTCTTTACATTGTTTACAAAACACACAAACAAACACACACACACACACACACATGCAGTTCAAGGAATCCCTTTACATTGTTTACAAAAGTTGTAGTTAGTTACACATTCGATATTTTTTCAATGCATCAAATCCTTACTGACATGAAAATGTTGCAGGAGTGATTCTCTTTCCTTATTGCCCTCATCTTTTACACCTCAAGATGCATCTAAAATGTTGTTCCTCTGTCAATCTGTACAATTGGCTCTTAAGGTGATACTAGCTACCTTATTAATTTGCGCTTTGCTCTGTCGAGTCTCAATTTGATAAAAATTTTTTTTTTGCAGTCTAACAAAGCACATATATTTGGGGACTTCTATGTATTGAGCAGCAGCTTTATGAAGGTTTGTTGTGGAATTTATTGTAGTCACATAGACCTCAAGATCCTTGAGTTAATTCTACGAGCCATGTCACTGATTTTGTGGTGCAAATGCAACTAATAAGGCCTGGTTTAAATATTGGTTTAAAAGATTTAATAAACATAATTTTCCGCGAGTATAGTCAATGAGAACAAAAAATTGTGCTAGTTATATTGAATTTGCTTGCAATAGATTCAGAGGTGCTGAATCAAATGGTACATCAAATTACTTCATGGTCACCAATTAACCATTCCATAGCTACCGTGGCATGGGAACTCCAAAAAAATAGTGATGATATAAAATGACTGCAGTGTCATGTATTGTACAGAACAGTTGTATTAGATGCGTGATTAATGTGTGTGCATCCTGCTGGGCTTAAGAATTCTTTCCTATAATGTATTTCCTCACTGCATCCAGATTTTGGCTTCTTTATCCTTCCCCCTTTTGGTACTTAAGTGCCAACAGCCAAGAATGAAGTTACTGTTGAATAGAATATGTCTATCTGTAACTTTTTTTCTTCTTTTTATATCACTGGTTTCCTAATGTCTAAATGCTTCTGTCCCCCATCTATTAGGACATTTGCGATTGTACGGTGAAAGAATTAGAGACATTAGCTGTTTCAAGGTCTTTGGGCACTGTAAAACCTGGTGATTTACCAATAGCCAATGAAGTAAAAGCAGGGTATGATTCAAGCAGGTTGAGTGTGTCCAGTGAAATGGCAAGTGACAGTGGCTCCAACAAGCATGCTGATAAAGGGCCAAAGAAGAAAAAGGGGAAAGCCACTGGAAATGCATTAGCAAATCAATCAGAAAGTGGTGCTGATAACCAAGAGCATACTTCTACCAAATCTAAGAAAAGCCAGAGAAAGGGTAAGGATACATCTTCACAAACATCAGATTCAAAGCAAGGCTCTAGGAAAGAATCACTTAAAATGAAAGAGGATAATCTCAGTAGTCCCTAAGAAGAATGGATCATGGAGAAGATTACAGCCTTGGTTCCTGATTTTGAAGAACAAGGTCTTCTAATTATGACTTTGGATATACTCTTTCTGCATATGCATTTTATCCAATTTCTTAAATTATGTGCTATTAATTGATAGGTATTGATGATCCTGAAACAATTCTTAGGCCTTTGGTTAACAAGTTAAGGCCCACAATAATCAATAAAAGGAAGGCATTGTTTAAAGACAATGCAGAAAGAATGAAACAATTGCTTGATAATTTGCAGAAAAAACTCGACGAGGTGTGACTGCTCTGTAGTATCTTTTTGTACTTTCTTCGTCCACTGTGTCAATGTTGGTACTTTATTTAATCTTTCCTTAGAGCATCTTTAATGCTGGTAAAGTAAGGCAAACGTTTGTTATAGTTTACGTTGCTTGTAGACAACCGGCATTATAGAAAGATGACATGGCATCATATATAATTTTGGATGCTCTATAGAAGCAATGGCAACTAAATCTCATCTGTCATAAAAATAACAATTTTATATTATTGAGATGAAAGATAATAAATTCTTATAGTGTTGAGTTCACTGTTAAAAATAATTACAAATAAATAAATATAAATATGTGGGGTCACCTTTGAGTTATTTATAAACAACCACCATTAAAGTAAAAAAAGAATAGATCAATTGCAAATTCTTTAAATCCTATTTGGCAATTTGGTCCCACAAAATACAAATTAATTAATCCATTTTAGTTCCTTATTATTCACCCCACTAAAGATGCTCTCATTGGATACTTATCTGAACATGTCCTTGTGTGATTTGTTTTTTGGCAGTCTTTCTTAAACATGCAACTGTATGAAAAAGCCTTAGAATTGTTTGAAGATGATCAATCAACTTCTGTAAGTCAAGTTAATTGAAATTTGAAAATGTTATTTTCACTGTTGAAACATGAATAAATTAATGTATCTTTGATGCCCAGGTTGTTTTGCATAGGCATTTACTAAGGACAGTAGCAGCTCCTATGGTTGACATGCTTCTTCATGACTTGGTATTATATACAGCAATTATTCTGTTGATATTTCTTGAGGTGTAATAAGATCTAAAAACACTATGGATTCATCCTTTTGCAGGATGAGCAGAACAAATTAAAGAACGGAGTAGAAGTGCAGGAATCTCCAAATTCTGAGTCTATTTCGTTTAGTCCTGGAGATAGAGCTGCAATTGTAAGACTTGAGAGGAAAATATGAAATGATAATTAATACTCTGCATAATGATGTTTATAGTCAGAATCAGAATGAATAAATTTCACAAGAAGTTTAATCAAAGCAAACATAATTTCACAAGATACTACCAATCTTAATATGCAATGAATCCTATGATACAGTGAAGTTTAATTCTACTTTGAATCTGGAACAATAGCTATATTAAGTTTTCAACAGTAAGAATATTACATTACTTGGAAAGTTATGCTTTTCTGTTCTGATGCGTTTAGTATATCAAATCTTAGATATTTGTAAACTATCTTCTTTAGTGGAACACATAAAATGACTTCAAATACTACATCTATTGTTATTTTCTTTTGTAGTCCAAGAGTTTTCCAGGAGCTCTTTCAAATAAGGCTCTTGTTGTTGTAGAAGCATTGGAAGGAAAGGTAAGCATTTTTATTTCTGAAACATTATGGTTAAGGCTATTTGTATAAGGTTCACTCAATCACTCATCAGTTCACAATTGCAGCTGGTTGGCTGGAAATATCTTGTTATAACTTGAAACTTATTTTTCTGTTTGATTTTTGAATGCTGCAACTAATATTTGAATATTCAATACAATAGAGGGTGGAAACATTCATGTCTTCATTCAGAGCTGTGACAGAAGAGAGGTAATAACTTGTCTTTTTTGTTAGTAGTACTTATAGCGTTGCTTTTACCAAAGCTTCTCTCTTGACGTTAAACCTCATGTGATTAATTTTTCCAGCGGGCTGCCTTTGAAAAAGCTAGACAAGAAACTAGAAAGGACACTTCTACATTCATATCGTAAGGTATGTACTGAAACTATAAGTTTGGTAAAACTTTAGAATGACAAGAAGAAATACTCCTGAATTAGTTTGTTTACAACTATTATAAGACAGACCAATTCCACTTAAATAATGATGGAGCTCAGCTCCTTCCACCAATAAAATAGACACAATACCCTACCACAACAATGCAAATGAACAACTGGCTTGATACCACATGCACTGACAACCCTTTCCCTAGCCAATGACTTATCTATTTTCCTCTAATCTTGCTGCCCCCCTATGCCCTCTTATTGGGCCTTATATACTGTTAGACCATTTTTCTGTTTACATCCTCTCCTATATACATGTATGTCAGTGTTAATTACAACGATTCAAGATATTCAGTTTTCTATCCTACAATAGTTCCTAAGATTGCTCCTAATTGATTCTACGACACAGGTGAAACAGTAGCTTAATTATCTAAGATATTCTTACACTTTCCATGGAGCTGGAAATCACTTATTATAGCTTGTCATGTATATAGCTGGTCTGGTGACCTCTAAAGGCCTCAGTGTATGCAAGTTGACAAATATAATGTGGATATTATTACGATCTCTTGCATTTGAATTTTCTCTGGTGCAACATGGCAATTAATCTCAATATGTTTCAGGAAAAATAGGATTTCAAGATATATGTAGTGCAACATGGTTGCCACACTAGTTTCATTGGTTGCAATTCATAGTTGTTTAAATTGTTAGAGCAGCAGTTCATAGGCTTCAGTACCCATCATTTGTTACTCAACTTTTGCACTTGATTTGAAAACTGTTTGCTTCTTTTCCATGATATTATATTTCCTCCAAAGTAAACAGTGTCATGGCCAAAATAGAGCTTTTAAATAAGATAAATTTGCTTCCCAACTGGCATCTATATAAGCACAAATTTACACATGCTTGCTATCTTTGTTTAGTTAACATTTTTGTAAATGCTCTTCGAACGTATCTATGTCTTTGAACAACAATATCACGGTTAGAGTCACACGTAGAATCAAGGAATTTACTTACTGCACTCACGAGCATTACTAAGGAGATATTTAATCTCGTTATCATGATAGATAGTTAGGTAGATAGATAGATAGATAGATGGATAGGTAGATGTAACAAACCCCAGCTAGTGCGTAAAAGCTTTTGTTTTGGTGGTTGTTATAATGGGACATTTCAACTTTCAAAGTAACCTCCAAGAATGTCCTATATTTAGTTCTTGTCGGTTTCACCAAGATGATTATTTCAGACCATACAATGTTTTCTACTGCTTGCACCCCAACCCAAATCCCACCTAGCAATAAATCCAGGTAGTTAATCCATGTAAACTTGTAAATTACCATTGGAGAGGACTTTCTTTATGTGCCGATTGTATTGAGGCCAATGTTTAATGACAGCCATGGCTAGGAAGAGCCAAACAGCGGGCTCAAGAAAATATATTATTCAAGCAAAAGATTTTAGTGTAATATTTGGTCCCTAAACGAGGCTTTAATAAGTGAATAGAGTCACATGGACCAACTTCAATTGTAAATACCCATAGGCAACAATGAGATATTTTCCCACTGGCTTAAGGACTATATTTCACGTGACTTTGGTTTGCAAGGCCCCATTATTAAACATTTATTTGATATTCTTTTCAATTTCAGTATGCTATATCTGATATTCAAGATTGTTTAAATTGTAATTCCTAATATTAGCAGACCCGTCCATTTTACATAGAATTTTTGTTTGTTTTTGCCATGATATTCTGCAATTTGGATGATCTTAAACCGTGTCTTCTATCACTGTTATCAGGAATTGACATCTCAAGTTTCGGCTGAGACTGACCCTGTATCACTTCTGCCGAAAGTCGTGTCTTTACTCTATGTCCAGGTAACTTGATGCTACTTCCCCCTCACCTCAACAAAAAAAAACTCTTATTCCCATCATTAACATGTATTTGTATTAACAGGTTTACCATAAAGCTCTACAAGCCCCTGGAAGGGCCATTTCTGTTGCTATTTCTCAATTGACGGTATGTTCTTTCCATATGCTTAATTATGCATCAAGACAACTGAAATAATAGTAATTGCCGAAATCAAAACAAGTATTTGTATATCAACTGACAGTAAGTACTGAAAAACGTTGTTGAACCCTGAGATAAACAGTGATGCCTCATTGCCCTTGTATTTAAAATATGATTTGGTGGTGATATTTAACAAAGATATGGACATTATATGTGGTTTCTTACTTGTTTTGCTGTTCAATATCTCAGATAGATCATAAAAACTTTATCAGAGCATAATCTATTTCATGTTACACTTGAATGGCTGTTTAATGCAAAAGTGTTAGTCATGATTCTTGTATGTTGCATTTAACCATATCTAGGGTTTTTTTACATTCTCAAATATAGTTCACAGGCACTTAACCATATCTAGGGTTTTTTTGCATTTAACCGTATCTTATAGTGGTAAAAACTATTAGCTTTCTTGCACTTATTTTGTTGAGAGATAATTGTAACACCTATACACTTATCAGAGCATAATACTTCACAGGCAATAGATTTTAGGCTCATTTTTGCACTAGTTTTGACAATAATCTGACAGCAGGCAATCAAGGAAAATAGTTCTCATGGATTCAATAATGATTACTTTTTAGGACTGAAAAGCTTCCAAAAGTATATATATTTAACGTATTTTTTATCAAAAGCTGAATGCATATCTTAGGCAACTAAAGTAGCAAATAGTGTGTGTTTGTTAAGTACTAGTCAACCAAGGAAAAATAGTTCTCATCGATTCTGCAAGAACAATGAACACTCTTTAGGACTGGAAAGCTTGCAGTAATATATGTTTAACTTATGTTTTATCAAAATCTGAATGAATAATATCTTAGAGAACCTAAAGTAGTTAATGGGGGGTTTGTAAGGTACTAGTAAAACAATTCAAATATCCATAAAATATTGTAAAACGTCTTCCGTAACTTTTCCCTAATTTTGGTTCACATGTTTTATTTGTTAGGATAAGCTTGACGAGACAGCTTGCAAGATTATAGCTGATTATCAAGCTGCTGCCGTTACTCTTTTGACACTATCAGCTACTCCTGATGACGTGATTAGTTTCTTTTCATGCACTGTTCATTTATACACGTTATTATGGTTGATCTCACAGAATTTTGATCATTCTTCTCTAAGATATCAAAGTAATCAAACTTTTGTTCTAAACTGTCTTCTGTTAAGTTTTAAACGTGAGTAAGACTTGGAATTGAAGTTTCTCGAGCAACTTTTTCCAATGTCTTTGTTGAATAATTAGAAAATAAATCCGAATTTCACAAGAACATGTTGCATTAACTATTTTAAAATGGGTATGTGATATTTCTGGGAGTGGTTGATATATTTGTAAATGTGTATAAGATTATTTTGAATGCCCGCCCAATTCAATGTTTAGATTGTAAACTATTTTTTTTCTTCTTTTCTATTTTGTGCAGGAAGACAGTTGTGCATCGAATAGAATTAGAGAGATTCTGGAGAGCCAAATGCCTGCTCTTAAAAGTTTGGTTTCGGGTGCCTCACGGTCATAAATATTTTTCAAGTCAAATCTATCCCCTGAATGAAACTGTACTGTACTTTGTTAGGATGGACGAATTTTATGTTAGTTTAGACTATACAACTTGTATACACTATACAGTGCACTGCAAAAAAAAGTTTTTCTGAATTTTCGCTCCATGAAATTTGTCTTTTAAGCAAAATTGTCAAATTAACGATAAATATTAGGACTATTTTGGAACTTATATTTTTCTAGGGGTAGGGGTAGGGGTAGGGGTAGGGGTAGGCGTAGGCGTAGGGGTAGGGGTAGGGGTAGGGGTAGGGGTAGGGGTAGGGGTAGGGGTAGGGGTAGGAGTAGGAGTAGGAGTAGGAGTAGGAGTAGGAGTAGGAGTAGGAGTAGGAGTAGGAGTAGACGTAGACGTAGACGTAGGGGTAGGGGTAGGGGTAGGGGTAGGGGTAGGAGTAGGAGTAGGAGTAGGAGTAGGAGTAGGAGTAGGAGTAGGAGTAGGAGTAGGAGTAGGAGTAGGAGTAGGAGTAGGAGTAGACGTAGACGTAGACGTAGGGGTAGGGGTAGGGGTAGGGGTAGGGGTAGGAGTAGGAGTAGGAGTAGGAGTAGGAGTAGGAGTAGGAGTAGGAGTAGGAGTAGGAGTAGGAGTAGGAGTAGGAGTAGGAGTAGGAGTAGGAGTAGGAGTAGGAGTAGGAGTAGGAGTAGGAGTAGGAGTAGGAGTAGGAGTAGGAGTAGGAGTAGGAGTAGGAGTAGGAGTAGGAGTAGGAGTAGGAGTAGGAGTAGGAGTAGGAGTAGGAGTAGGAGTAGGAGTAGGAGTAGGAGTAGGAGTAGGAGTAGGAGTAGGAGTAGGAGTAGGAGTAGGAGTAGGAGTAGGAGTAGGAGTAGGAGTAGGAGTAGGAGTAGGAGTAGGAGTAGGAGTAGGAGTAGGAGTAGGAGTAGGAGTAGGAGTAGACGTAGGGGTTAGGGGTTAGGGGTTAGGGGTTAGGGGTCGGGGGTAGGGGTAGGGGTAGGGGTAGGGGTAGGGGTAGGGGTAGGGGTAGGGGTACACGTGGAGTAGGAGTAGACATAGGGGGAGTAGGAGTAGACATAGGGGGAGTAGGAGTAGGGGGGGGTAGGAGTAGGAGGGGGGGGTTAGGGGGTAGGGGTAGGGGTAGGGGTAGGCGTAGGAGTAGGAGTAGGGGGGTTAGGGGTTAGGGGTCGGGGGTAGGGGGTAGGGGGTAGGGGTAGGGGTAGGCGTAGGAGTAGGAGTAGGAGTAGACGTAGGGGGGTAGGGGAGGAGTAGGAGTAGGAGGGGGGTAGGGGTAGAGGGCGTGGATAAGGGTAGGAGTAGACGTAGGGGGAGTAGGAGTAGGGGTAGGGGTAGGAGTAGACGTAGGGGGGGGGGGGGTAGGAGTAGGAGTGGGGTAGGGTAGGAGTAGACGTAGGGGTAGGGTAGGAGTAGACGTAGGGGGGGGGGGGGTAGGAGTAGGGGTAGGGGGGGGGGGGGGTAGGAGTAGGGGTAGGAGTAGGGTAGGGGTAGGGGTAGGGTAGGAGTAGACGTAGGGGGGGTAGGAGTAGGGGTAGGAGTAGACGTAGGGGGGTAGGAGTAGGGGTAGGAGTAGAAGTAGGGGTAGGGGTAGGGGTAGGGGTGGGGGTGGGGGAGGGCGTAGGGGTTAGGGGGTAGGAGTAGGAGTAGGGGTTAGGGGTTAGGGGTAGGAGTAGGAGTTAGGGGTAGGGGTTAGGGGTTAGGGGTAGGAGTAGACGTAGGGGGGGTAGGAGTAGGAGTAGGGGGGTAGGCGTAGGCGTAGGGTAGGGGTAGGAGTAGGGTAGGGGTAGGGGTAGGGGTAGGGTAGGAGTAGACGTAGGGGGGGTAGGAGTAGGGGTAGGAGTAGACGTAGGGGGGTAGAAGTAGGGGTAGGAGTAGAAGTAGGGGTAGGGGTAGGGGTAGGGGTGGGGGTGGGGGAGGGCGTAGGGGTTAGGGGTTAGGGGTAGGAGTAGGAGTTAGGGGTAGGGGTTAGGGGTTAGGGGTAGGGGTAGGGGGTAGGGGAGGGGAGGAGTAGGAGTAGGAGGGGGTAGGGGAGGAGTAGGAGGGGGGTAGGGGTAGGAGGCGTGGATAGGGGTAGGAGGCGTGGATAGGGGTAGGGGTAGGAGTAGACGTAGGGGGGGGGGGGGGGTAGGGGAGGAGTAGGAGTAGGAGTAGGAGGGGGGTAGGGGAGGAGTAGGAGTATGAGGGGGGTAGGGGTAGGAGGCGTGGATAGGGGTAGGAGTAGACGTAGGGGGAGTAGGGGTAGGAGTAGACGTAGGTGGAGTAGGAGGGGTGTAGGGGTAGGGGGAGTAGGGGTAGGGGTAGGAGTAGACGTAGGGGGGGGGGGGGTAGGAGTAGACGTAGGAGTAGACGTAGGGGGGGGGGGTAGGAGTAGGGGTAGGAGTAGACGTAGGGGGGGGGGGGGTAGGAGTAGGAGTAGGAGTAGGGGGGTAGGCGTAGGTGTAGGCGTGGGGTAGGAGTAGGGGTAAGGGTAGGGCGTAGGGGTAGGGCGTAGGGGTAGGGCCGGGCGTAGGGGTAGGGCGTGGGGTAGGGCCGAGGTGGGTAGGGCGTGGGGGGTAGGAGTAGGGGGGGTAGGCGTAGGGCGTGGGGTAGGGCCGGGGTGGGTAGGGCGTGGGGGGTAGGAGTAGGGGGGGTAGGCGTAGGGGTAGGGGGGTAGGCGTAGACCTGAGGGGGGTAGGAGTAGACGTGGAGGGTAGGGGTAGGGGTAGAGGGTAGGGGTATGAGTAGGGGTAGGGGTAGGGGTAGGGGTAGGGGTATGAGTAGGAGTATGAGTATGAGTATGAGTAGGAGTAGGGGTAGGGGTAGCGGTAGGGGTAGGGTTAGGGGTAGGCGTACGCGTACACATACGCGTACATGTAGGGGGAGGGGGAGGTGTAGGCGTACGCGTACGCGTAGGGTGGTGTTGGCTGAATATTTTGATAATGTTATTAGAAGCTAAATGAATTAAACGTTTTGATCGAAATGAGGTAAAGTGTCATGTTTCGAAGTAGCAGAAACAGTGTTTCGAATAAGTGTGTCAAAGCTTGGAGCTTCGAGTGGCAATTATGGGAACATATCTAAAGAAGTCTCGAAATAACAACAAGGCTGTATCTGGGAAGAGCGTTCGAAACGGAGAAGCACCAAAGCATTTGAAATTCAAATGGAAGCGGGACTTTCGAAGTTTGAAAATTATGTGTTGGAACATTTGGGGACACGTGGAAAGATGAAAGAGGCATTGTCCTGCATGTTCGAAATGTGGCATAATCCTATAGCAAGACCGTTATGGTCGAATTAGTATAAATAGAAGTCTTAGTATTAGGATTTTGTGTGTCATATCTATTATACAAAATACTCAATAACATTCAAACTACCACATGGCAAGGGAAACGAATGCAAGGGAAATGTATGTATGATAGCACCATGTATTTTTGATTTAGTGAAAACCTTTTACCATTTCCAGTACTTTCCTTTATCCTTTTTTGTCAAATAACCTTTACAAGTTTTCTTATTTACAGTCTTTTCACTTCGAAATCTCTTCTTCAAAGTTTAATATTTTAATGTTTTCTTCATATTTCGAGCACTTTATATCTCAGAAAACTGTCATATTTTTCATACCTTTACTTTCAAGCCTTAAAATCAAACCTTTTACGTTCCAGAAATCCTTTATATTAACTGTTTTGTAAGTCGAAACCATTTACTTCACCTTTATGCAGTTTTACATGTCTTTAAAATTAGCATTACAATTAGCACTTATTCATGTAACTTAGTTTTCACACACACTTTGATCATATCTTTAGACTTTTAGAGAGAGAGAAATCGAAATAAGCCAAACACATATAAAATATCAACCATGAATATCTGTTCGATTGTGAGAGTAACCTTAATATCCAAGGAGTCCTAGGATCAATCTAGTCGATCCTGTGAGTTACCAGAGGAATTGAATAACAGTCAGAAAGATTATTCGATAGTTTGGAAGACTAGCGGTTGTTTACCAGAAATCACTGGAAACAAATTGGCACGCCCAGTGGGACCAATAATTGGATATTAGAATAAGGATTGTTGAGACATAACCATCACAAAAACGTTGGAACCTAAGAATTTTGCTGTTTTATGAACCTAAGAAGTGGTAAGATAACCAGCAGCAACCAACCTTTATCCAGAAGAAAACGTTTGGACAAAATGTCTAATTCAGACAATCAACAAGGGGACCAAAATGGCCCACATGCAACAGGCACTAACGCGTCCACTTCGATCGGAACATCTAATGTAATCCCTTCGAATGCACAGTCTGTTGCATCTTCGACCAGTAACATAGCCACCAATGGAGTAAGTGGCATATCAACTAATAGTTCGATCTTAGGAAATACTGGAACTATTGGCTACCCTGGGGGATTCGTTCCACCATCAGGGACACAATCCCATTTCGCCACTCCATTAACTAGACCACCCGGTTTCGATGGGAATAGAACCAGAAATTCCTCTTATGGAATGCCAACATCTTTTATGGCAGGTTTACACAATTCCACATCGAATTCATCTCCACAACTAGGGTCTGGGTCTGGGGCGAATCAGTTTATGACAAATAACCAAGGGTCGGTGGGTTATAGCACAATGCCTATCCTAACCACAGACAACCAGTTGGCTTTTAGGCAAATGATGGATGACAGTAACCATAATATGATAGGGGTGTTAGCACAAACCATGCAGGAGATATTTGCCCCAATAGTGCAAAATGTGACTGTGACGAACAGGGAAAACGCTGACAATATGAGTCGAATAGCAGATTTCTTTGCTCCCCCAGAAAGGCGTAGGCAGAATCAGGCGGGATTTCGAACAAACATGCCTGTTATAGAACAAATTGCTAACGACCCAATTTATAGACGACCCAGAGAAGAAGTTAACTTAGGGGCCAGGGCACCAAGGTTAGAAGCCCCAATAATCCCGGGCCCACAAAGGGAAATTATGGAACCAGGGGCAAGGGTCGAAAGGCTAGAAGCCCCAGAGTTTCGAGAAGAACAACCTAG